TGCGCCCTGAAGCACCGTAGGTGGCAGGGTTGGCAGATCGATCTCCTGAGAGCACTGAGGAGAGACAGCCACCGTATAATGAGGTGTACACCGCTCTTCCCCAGAGGGGGCCGGCCCTCAGAAGTCCTGGGCCTTAGGCGTCAGGACGTTTTAGCTGAAGACTATCCAGTGGGAATGACGGTCCGCAGATCCGCCTTCCGCTAGAAGAGAAATGAAATAAAATAAAATATTAGAATTTGAGAAAATTAGAAATGTTACATACTAAAATTTATTTAAGTTGAAGCATTAAAATTACTAACTGGAAATAAATAAAAAATAAATTATCAATTACTATAACTAAATAGTAACATATTTAATAGTAATATTTAATAATAAAATAAACTAAAAATAATAAAAATGTCAGAACCACAACAAAATGACAAGATCATTTAATAATTTAAAATGATTTAAATTATAATAATTGATAATTATAACTAAAATTAACTATAATTTATAATTATAGCTGAAAATACACAATTAAAAACTAATTTAAAATATTCAAAGTAAAAAATTAACTCAGAAAATGAATGGAGTTTTTTCTTCCAGAAGCGACTCTGTGTGAAATAACATTCTAGTAGTGTGTTAATATGTTATTCAGAATTGAGCCTCTGAATTGTAATGCAGTAAATTCAGCTTATAATAAGTGCCAATTCACGGTCTGCATGTATAACACTTCTCAGAAAAGCTTTGACTTAAGTGTAAAAAAATTCTTAGTTACAAGTAGGGCTTTTCTAAGAGTAGGAGACTTTAATAAAGAAGCTAAAAGCAACTTTTAGTAAAGTCTTAAGGCCCGTTCACACCAAGCACGATAACTGTAAAGATAACTATAAAGATATAGTTCTAAAAATCGTTCTCAATATTAAACACTAGCAGGAGTCCACACCACAGCTATAACGATAAAGACACCGAGAAACGATATCATTGGAATATTGGTGTGAGTGGGCCTTAAGACTGACTCTTAAAGGTGGGGTAAGCGATTTTTCAAAAACGCTTTAGAAAACTGATTCGGGCCGACTAGCAAAACAAACTTGTAGCCAATCAGCAGTAAGGGGCGTGTCTACTCATGATGTGGAGGAGAGAGCGTTCAGTCCGAGCCGAGCGACAGAAAGATAGCGCCAAAGAAAGATGGCAGATAAAAAAAACAAAAGAGGAAAATGTCTGTGGAACAAAAGAAGGCTTAAGGCAAGAAGTAGGACCCGTGTAAATATCGAATCAGCTTTCCAGCGCTGGAGAGAACTCAAGGAGCGGAAGGTCTGCGATCGGACGCCGAGGTTGCTTTGTTTCTTCTCGAAAGGTGAGTAACACCGTGTCTGCGCCGCAACAGCTAAAGTCTGCCATAAATAGAATGCAGCAGCAGTTTTTTTGGTCGGGGATTTGTCGTGTCATGCCGCGACGCAATCCAGTTTAGACCATAGATATGTATATATATCTATGGTGTAGACAGCATCATTGATTATAATGAGTTGTATAGTATTTTGCCCTGCCACTCGCGTCCGGTGTAGACACGGCGTAACATTGGTTTTGCTTGAACATTGGGGTAACATTGGTTTCACAGAACTAATCGTTGCCTGGGTTGTGTATGTATGTGTGGGGCAGAGCTATCAAAATAGGGGCGAGATCCTTTTGGGGTAGGGTTTGTTTTGGTGATTTCAAATGTCAACATTGTCTACGAGAAATCACTTACCCCACCTTTAAGTGTTGACTGAGGTGAGGTAATAAGAGCCAGTTCGGTTGATACAAGAGTAGGTTCAGTAGTTCTGACTGCAGATGATCAGATGATGGTGATGGTTTTGTACCTGCGCTGGTGTCTTCGGGGATGTCGAAGGAGTAGACCGCGCGTGAGAAGTGTGGTGTGTGATCGTTGACGTCGCTGACGGTGATGTTGATCCGTACATCGGAGGACTGCAGCCCGTCATCAGCTCGCACCAGCAGCGAATACTCGGATCTGCGCTCGCGGTCTAGACGCCGGGTGTTCGTCAGCTCGCCAGACTCGGGATCGATGCGGAAGCTGTCGTCTGCACCGCTGATGATGGAGTACGTCACCAGAGCGTTCGCTCCCTGCACACAAACCACCGGCACGTGATCATCTGTCCTTATTTCATATCATGGATTAATGTGATCAGACGATCATGCCGCTTCAGTCACAAGTAGGGTTGCAAAAAGGTGGAAAATTTCCAGTCAATTTGGGAAACTTTCCAGGATTTTTTGGGAATTTTCCAGGGAATTTTGGAAAGTTTTCGGAAATTTTCCAACTCTTTGCAACCCCAGTCACAAACCTCTAACAGGAAAACAAGATTGTTTTTCAGCCCCACTTGCAGACATTTGTTCCTTGTTTTAAGCAAGAACTTTTTGATCAGTTTTTCAGAAAACCAGAATAATTGGATATTTATACTGAAAAACAAGACACAGATACTGAGAAAAGCAATCAAGTCTGTGCGTAATGTCACACGTTTAATTGAAATAATGCTGAAATAAAATAAAATATAAATATTAGATGAAAAACTTTTAAAAGAAAATGAGAAATGCTGTCTTTGGCGACTTACTAAAATAACTTTACATTGAAGCATTAAAATGACTGGAAATAAATAAAAACGAAAACAAGAAAACTAATTTATATTAATTTATAAAAAATAAATGGTAATATTTAGTTAAAAAAAACTAATAAAAATGTCAAAATCACATAATAAAATGACAAAAATTAAGAAAATTAAAATGGAAATAAATAAAGCTAAACTAAAACCAACACTGAAATAAAAAAATCATATAAATAAATAGTAATATTTAATAGTAATATTTAATTAAAAAAATAATAAAAATTGTCAACAGCACATAACAAAACTACAACAAAAAAACTACTAAAATTAAAATGAAAACTGAAAATATATATAAAAGATCATTCAAAATCTTAGTAGAAACTATAATATTAAATAAATAATCTGTACAATAAATGTGTCTGTGCATAATGTCAAACTTTCACACATTTACTGAAATAAAATAAAATATGAATATTAGAAGGCAAAAACGTGAGAAAATTAGAAATGCTGAAGCAATAAAATCACTAACTGGAAATAAATGGAAACTAAAGATGAACTAAAACAAAAACTGAGATAAATCTAAAACTATTACAAATTTCAACGGTACACAACAAAATTAAAAAAAGTAACTAAAATTTAAATGAAAAGTGAAAATATAAAAATAAAAGCTAATTCAAAATACTACTAAAAACTATAATAGTTTATAAATAACACTAAAACATATGGTGTCTGTGTGTATCGTCACACATGAACTTCAGATTGCAGCAGGACCAATTAGTGAGAGTGAAAGTATTTCATTTCAAGGCTGGTGTCGAGTTTCCTGAGATCAGATCTGCAGAAACACAAACTCAACGCACAACACTGCTCTTCTGAACACACCAACACCCGCTTACAGACTGAGAGAGAGAGCGAGAGAGAGAGACGGATAGAGAGAGAGAAGGCGAGAGAGAGAGAGGGAGGGAGAGAGACGGCTAGAGAGAGAGAGAGAGAGAGAGACGGATAGAGAGAGAGAGAGAGACAGCTAGAGAGAGAGAGAGGGAGGGAGAGAGACGGCTAGAGAGAGAGAGAGAGAGAGAGACGGATAGAGAGAGAGAGAGAGACAGCTAGAGAGAGAGAGAGGGAGGGAGAGAGACGGCTAGAGAGAGAGAGAGAGAGAGACCACGCCCCCCTAAAACGGCTCGTTCTAACACACCCCCACATATCTAGGTCACTATGTGGGAATATTTGCATAATGCGCCCAAATGTTCACGCAAAGAAAGAAGGCGTGGTTTCAGTAACTGCAGTTAGTGTTGAAGCAGCATGTCAGGGAGACGCTGTGTGTTTCTAGGCGAAAGCAAAAGCACTTTATTTGGCTTTCCAAAAGTAAATGCATTTAGGAATCTTTAAGATCACTTACAACAGAACAGCAATGCATTTTATGGATGACCGTTTCGTGAACCTAGGAGAGGAGGTCATTCTGACTTTGCTATGACAATCTGGCGCTTCTGAATCAGCTACTGTTTTGTTATTAGTTTAAGTATTACTGTTCAACTGTTCAAATGCAGAGTTTTGCAGAGAGAGAGAGAGTGTGTGAGAGAGAGAGAGAGAGAGAGAGAGCGAGAGAGACAGCAGGCGTCTCTTTGAACCGCGCAGATATACGGTTCCTCTATAAATCCAGCTAATGGATCCCCTGATACCTGCGGCTCTCAGACGCTGCACATCTGATCCTGACGAGCAGAGAATAACGCCAGCGACAGATCGGGACGTCTCTGTTTGAGCACAGGACAATATGAGTTCAGACCGAGACGAAGGCACATCAAAGAGCAGAAGATCAGGATCCGCTTACAGAAACACCACACTATCACCACTCAAACTGTGGAGTGGCATGGAAATGTTGTGGTTTATGAATATGGTAAAGCATATTTTTGGGGATCTTTTGCATTGTGATGTTTTTTTTTTTTTTAGCACATTTTCCTGTAAGGCCAACCCTCTATATTGCAATCTATATTAAATCACTCTGGGCGACTAAATTATGTCTAATATTAGCCAATTGCTAATAAATTCTCCGGTTTTACTCGCCAGTGTGTGAGTTGGAGGCTGAGTATATGATTAGCACAGATATATGTTCACTCACAGAACACTCTGACTGAGCGCTTCAGAGTTTTACTCTCTGTCAAGCGAGCCGTGATGTTTTTCAGTTCATCTGAATGGATGCGCAGCGCACCTGTGTTTGTGTATTTGGCGTACCGTAAACTCTAGTGTGAAGCGCACGACTCGCCGACACTTTCTCTCACACGCGCAAAGAGCGAGCGAGAGTCTTACATAACATGCAGAATTGATGCTCTACATGTAAACGATATACTTTGTTGTATTTTCCTGTCAAAATAACGGAGTTCCTTTGGAATTCTTCAGCTTTTAAGAACTGCCGGGTTCTCCGGTAGTGGGCGGAGCTAATGCGCAAACGACAATCTCATTGGCTGGTGCTCACCTATTATCGTCCCTGTTTTGATTTCAGCGAATCAGTTCGAGCAAACGCACACAACCCGATTAATATTCATGAAGCCAGTAGCTCATTAATCCTTAGTACGTTTTTATATTGTTATTAGTAGAATTCGTATAATAATAATAATAATATATTATCAGTATTATTGTTCGTTTTTATTTTACAGGAACATTGAATGACCAAAAAAAGCACCAGCACCAGTCCTAATTTGCACTAGTAATTCTAATTACTAAACTTCTATTATTAAATAATACCTGATTATCATATTATAATGCTTGACTGCTTGACTGACTGATATTAAGAGTGTACTTTCAGATATTTAAAAAGATGTACCATTTTACAAACATATATGTTTGTAAAATGGCATAACTTTATATATATATATATATATATATGGATGTTTTAACATTTATTTATGAAGGTGAAACCATGGTTAACACTTTACAATAAGGTTCATTTAGTTAACATTAGTTAACATTAATAAATGCTTTAGAAGTATTTTTCATTGTTAATCTTAGTTAATGTTGATTCCAACATTTACTAATACAGTACATAATTAAAATCAAAAGTTGCATCTGTTAATGTTATTGAATGGACCTGAGCTGACATTAACCAATAATGAACCGCTGTGTTTTTATTAACTAACGTTAAAGCTGCAGTTCGTAAGCTTTGCCTCTTTGTCGCCATCTCTGTTTGAAACCTGCAATTGCAGCTGTTTGTGGCATTATCTTCCTTGCGTGGGTTGTGCTCCGGCACGGATGAATCTAATGTTTTGAGGTGAATGTGTGGATACTGTACTTCAGGATCACAGATGCTAGCCTACGTCTTGGAATATATGACCCAAATAAGAATTCTCACCATATATTGCCATCTGAACAAGTAACAAGTCTGCCACGTTTGTTCTGACCAACTGAGGAAAAAAGCATTACAATAAATCGCGCTACCAATGGTGATTAAATCTAAAGATCGTTAGCTCATATCACATCAAAACATTCAAATTATTATTATTGTTATACTTTATTCTCAAATTGTTAATGTTAACAACATCAGCATTACGTGACCATGTGAATATAGTGTGTATAAGTGCGTAGATCGATTTCAATTTCTTTGAACCCAAAAAACAAATTTAGCTCCCTTCGAACTGGTTTTCTTTAAAATGCAAATCTTTGTAATCCCAGGCTATCTGTAATCAGAAGCACATTTATAACTGGAATATGGTTTAACTTCATTCACATGTGTTTCATAAACGCATAATCCTTTCTGGATTACAATTCGCCATCAAAATGAAGCCTTTACTTATTCCAGCTGCTGTGAGAAAAGGCTATAAACGATCCTCCAGCTGCAGGATCCTCACATGTGATGGCCTAGTAGCCGGGACAACTTCTTTATGTTTACAGACGTGACGTAATGACGCAGCGGCATGCTCGAATTTCCCACGAATACCTGCCCGTACCACTCAAATTAGAAAACATTATTATTATAAGATGACCGTTGTGAATCTGGCTAAAGTAAGGCGATAGTTTCCAACACTGGCTGGTTATGCACTTGCTCAAATATTTAAGATAATTTTTAACCAAAAAAAGTTACAGACTGCATCTTTAACAAAGATTAATAAATACTGTAACAAATGTATTGCTCATTGTTAGTTAATGCATTAAATATAGTTAACAAATGGAACCTTATTGTAAAGTTACCGTGTTGCTCTGTGTGTTTGTATTTGTTGATTTGAAGACCCTAGCAACCACATAGCAACACCTTAGCAACAGCATAGCAACTGTATAGCAACAGCCAGAACACCTTAGAAACAGCATAGCAACACCTAGAACACATTAGCAACTGCATAGCAACACCCAGAACACCTTAGCAACAGCATAGCAACGGCATGGCAACACCCAGAACACCTTAGCAACAGCATAGCAACACCAGAACACCTTAGCAACAGCATCGCAACACCCAGAACACCTTAGCAACTGCATAGCAACACCCAGAACACCTTAGCAACAGCATCGCAACACCCAGAACACATTAGCAACTGCATAGCAACACCCAGAACACCTTAGCAACAGCATAGCAACGGCATGGCAACACCCAGAACACCTTAGCAACAGCATAGCAACACCAGAACACCTTAGCAACAGCATCGCAACACCCAGAACACCTTAGCAACTGCATAGCAACACCCAGAACACCTTAGGAACTGCATACACCCATAACACCTTAGCAACAACATGGCAACTGAATAGCAACACCCAGAACACCTTAGCAACAACATGGCAACTGCATAGCAACACCTAGAACACCTTAAGGCCCGGGTATACTTCACTTTCCGCATTCCGTCTCGCGCACACGGACAAACTCAACACAGGCGCAGTATTACCTACTTGACTTGCACTCTGTCTCAATTTTCACCTCATGCATGCGCTGTTGTACGCGGACCGTCCGCGTGGTCTCAAAAAATTGCCTGCACGCGCACAGGTTGCGCAGCTGTGTGTATACTTTGTATACTTTTTATACGAAGTATACTTTGGCCTTTAGCAACAACATAGTAACACCCGGAACACCTTAGCAACAACATGGCAACCCCACACAGAGCACATTCTCAATGTCAGTCGCTGCATTCAGCTGTGTTTAGTGATTAGTGTCTAGCAGGGTCTTTATCATGCGCTGGCGTGGAGTTTGAGCTCTGGCTGTCCTGTACGGATGTGGGCTGAGATCGGGACAGGAATAACCCTGGACTCCAGTCACACATGCTGTTAGTGGAGCCCAAACATCCCATAATTCCTGCCCATCGTGCCAACATGAGATTCAGTTCAAGCTTTTCATTTAAAAAAACACTGGAAATGAACAACAGGAGAGAAAAATCACAGATCAGATCACAACTGCTTCTCCTGGACTGGTTTATAATGATTTTAAATAGATTAAAAATAGTTACTATAGTTATATGAAAATATCTAATGCACTTAAAACATTTAATAATTAATGTAAATTGTAAACTGACAACTTTAATAATTAGATGAATCACAATTAATATTTAAAATAATTCATATTTTATATTCAGGCTCTTTGATTGTTATCTGATCCACATTATTTTTAACTATTTTAACTGTATAAAAACACTTGGTTATGCTGTTTGATGTTGCAAACTGGTATTTATCATATTTTAATTTATTATCATAAACACACCGGTTTGTAGTGCAAAAAGTTTTATTTAATGTAATTGTTTGCGGTGATGTGCATGATTAATTATTCTAAATACCAGTGTTATTTGATACTATTATTATTGATCAGTTTTTATTTTTATATTTTCCATTTTCATTTTTGGTAGTTTCAGTAATTGTTGTGTTTTTGTCATTTTTATTAAATTTTTTTTTTTAAATCATAATGTCTGCATACTTATTATACCATATACTTATTCATTTTAGGGATGCACCGATACCACTTGTTCCAGTACTCGCCCGATACCGATACTTTTATTTTTGGTACTTGCCGATACCGAGTACCGATACCGATATTTTCATTGCATTTGTAAATTTATTTAAATATTGGGTACAGAAACTAAAAGAGTATGTATAATGTTAGTTGGTTAACTTCATTTATCAAATAGAGAGTCAAACCAACATTTATTCAGACACCTTCAACATTTCTCACATTATCACAGTTTATTCACTATAGTTTAGAAAATGGTAATAAAATATAACAAGAACTCCGAGTTAAACTGTGTCAGAACAAATTCAGCTTGATGATGTTAGATAACTTTGATAGAAAGGTATGTAATAGATTACAATAAACCAAAAACTATTTATACAGCTGTCAATATTTACACAACTATCAATACTTAGTCAGGTGACCCCTAGCCTCAGTGACCGCCTGTGGTCTCCTGCGCATGCTGTCACCCAGCTTCATGCAAACCTGAACTTCAATGTTTCCCCAGACTCGGTCTGAATAATTTTTGGTCCCAAATTTGTATACATTTTACTGGTAGTCCACTGTATGAAGAATTTTGGGGTATAATTTGTCACAGTTTAGTTTATTTAGCTATCCTCACTTACATAAATGAACTATAGTGTCCTGCACCCACTAGTAAAAATATATAAAAAATTATATCTGGTCTCTGAAACATTTTTGGTTTGACTGTATATCCTTCTGTTATTTTCAAACTTAATTATGCCCATTAAAATGTGTTTTACAAGATTTTGTTACTTTCACTGTTAATTTTTTTTCTCTCTCTATGGTAGCCTACATCATCTTTAATTTAATAGCATTAGAGCGGCTCCATTGCAGCGGCTCAGAACTGTAATCACGCGATTTGCTGTAAAAAATGCAGGGAACCACTCGCTATAAATCTCCTAACTGTGATATTTTCAGAAATGGAAGTCGCGTTTTTTTCATCTGAAACGTGCAGCGATTTATTTTCCAAAGCCACTCATATAATGCAGAAACACTCATGAAGCAAACAAAACACGCGCAACGCCTGCACATGTATTTGTACTGGCACAGAATGAGAGGAACAAGTACAGTGCAGCCTAGCGCATTTCACACTGGCTGTTAGTTTCACTTTCGCCAGAAAGTCGTGTATGCTTAAGGGTGAAAATAAATGACGTTTATAGTGAATGCCTCTATAAATTGTCTTATATTTACGATTTAGTTTTAATCCAAATGATGCATGTGCTAAGTGAGCGAACATCAATAAAGATCACACAACAGAAGTGCGTGTGCTCTCTAGCTCTCTCTCTCTCTCTCTCTCTCTCTCTACCGTTAAGTAACTTGTGCATTGTTTTACTTACTACTTTTTGACATATCCGACCAAACTACAAACTCAATCCACTCAGCGTGCTTTGTTTATCAGCTGGCGCAAATCAGCTATACAGGCATTAATACTGAATGTTTTATATTCATTGCATACATATACTTCGTAGACATCTCTAATAACTCCATTCTGCTGTCTGTTGTCGGTGTTTCTTTGTCTGAATATGGCACTTATCACATGCTGTGTGGTATCGGCGTTTGGTATCGGGGCATTTTAACGAGTACAGGAGCTCAGTATCGGGCCCGATACCGATACTAGTTTTATTTACATTTACATTTTATTTACACATTTTTTATTATTTTAGTAGATCAAGTTACAACCTAAATGAAAATGAAAAGTTTTGCATGGGCAATTAGCTTAAATATATAAGATTTAGATTTTAGATAAGCAACTAGCAGAAATCAGTTTTATAATTTTTTTAGTTAACATTTTATTTGAAGCAATTTTTATGCTTTTAGTTATTTTTTTTTATTAGTTATAGTTTTAGCTACAACAATCCTGCTAATGATCTGCTCTCTAATGAGAAGCCCTGCCCCCCCAATGCCGCCTGACACCAACAGCCAATCATAGCTCACGGCTGGGACTCTATTAGTTATTTGTAGACGTGAGTTTGAGCTCGTGGGAGCATCAGATTTCTCTCAGCGTTGGGTTTAATATCGCAGCGTTTAGTAGTTCAGACTGGGAGCTGAACTCGACTGCTCGCTCTCTCAGGGAAACACGCCTCCTCTGGAGACGAATCTGTATGTTTGCCAGGCGAGAATCACTGGAAATGAGCTCTAGAGTCTGAATACCGTCACGGAACATCAGTCCTCCTCTTTCCTGATGATTAAAATCAATCTAGTGCTGCAGAAATGCGGCAAACGTTGCGTATCGTCTAGTTGTGTGTGTGTTTGGGGGCGGAGCCACACAGACTCCGCCCACACGTCTGCTAGAGCCATTATCACGTCAATCATCATGACTGACAGCTGTCAGCTGTACCTCATCTGCGTCTGTGGCCGTGAGCTGCAGGATCCTGAAGCTGTCGCTGATGTTCTCCTGGATGGTGATATCTAGCGTGTCGGTGGGAAAGACCGGCGGGTTATCATTCACGTCCTGTAGAGTGATTTCAACCTGAGACCGAGAGAGAGAGAGAGAGAGAGAGAGACATTAACACCCTCAGTCCAAACATCATTCAGCCTCCTGATATTTACACAGAGACCCAGTGAGGAAATAAAACCGCCCGTGAATTACCATTTAATGCAATTGCCAATAACATGATAAAAAGACAGCAATGTTTTTTTGATTAATCAAAATGTTTTCTAATACATCTAATATGTGACCCTGAAATTGAGATTTATACATCTATATTATAATTATAAAAGTGCAAAGCTGACTGTTGCAACTTGTAAAATGTGCCAATGTGTAAAATCAACATTGCTACTTCAACCAGTGTTGATTTAGTATCGAGATGTATAGTATTATCGTATTCATTAATATTTCAATTTCAAAGTTTTAGTCTTTTTCTGCCGTTTTTATAATTTTTTTTTATAGTTTTTCATTTTTTTTATTTTTGTTGAAATTATAGTTATTTTAGCACTTCAATTAGCTACAATAAAATACTTTTAGTTTTTTTTTTCAGTTAACATGTAAGAGTTCAAGACGGTTCAGTAGTTATCGCTACATTAGTGCATGGTTGCATGGCGTTAGCAACACCAAGGTCATGGGTTCGATTCCCAGTAAATGCATGAACTGATAAACCGTTCAATGCAATGCAGTTCACTTTGGATTAAAGCATCTGTCATATGCATAAATGTTGATATTTTTTTGTAGCCGTGCACTTTATTTGTTAGTTGTCGTTATTTTGCAAGTCAATATGCACACTGTAAAAAAAGAAAAATAATAATAATAAGTTGTAAATAAAGATTATTGGTCTACATTTTACAAGAAAATACTATTTCAGTCTTTCAACTTCAAAATTTCCCGTTTGATTCAACATGCTACTTGCCCTTTTCTTTGCTATCATTTGTTCAATTTCTAAGTAAATCCTGCAGCAATATTTTTTCAGTGCAATAAATCAGTAAAAAAAATCAACATGGATTGTTTTAGGCTTTAATGATGAGTGTCTACCAAGTGAAACATCTGTTGTCATTTCATAATTACAACAACTCCATCAGCATGCAATGCAGCATTAATACAGAAATCAGCTGTTTTATATCGCTTTCAAACGTGACTCATTCAGTCAGATTTCACAATGCAACCATCCGTCTCATATTCAATAACTCGCAGTTAAAACGCATGAAATCAGCCGAGCACAGCGGCCAGATCCCAAAACTCACACCTCGTCTCGTCCTGAAGAACTTTAATATCTGCTGCAGTAAACATCACAGAGCCGTGAGCGCAGAAAAACACCAGACACAGAGCGAGAGGTTCAGTATTCAAGTAAGCTTGAAGATTGACTCGTAGTGTTGATTCATCAAACACATCCCACACACGTTTATTAGATTCTAAAAACAAAATCATTTACGCTCCTGTACAGTATGAATAGCATGCAAACCCATATTCAAACTGAGTTCTAGATTTTTTTTTGTTGATGTTGATAAATTTATTTAAATGGATACATTTTTATGAGTCTAATAATAATTTTAATTATTATTATTATTATTTATAAATTAAGTATTTTATATTATAATACATTATACATATACAATATATATTATACAATTACATATTATTATTATTATTATTATTATAAAATAATACATGAATACATTTATATTTGCATATGTATATTAAAATATATTCACACATAATTCATATTAAATTATTTATCTTTCTATCAACTTTTGAAGCACTTGTAAAAATGTTACATTTTTATGAAAATAACCATTTTATATAATATTAATTATTTATAAATGATATATTACAAATATATGCATACTTTTATATTTGCATAAATATGTATATTAAAATAATATATGTGCTTAATATTTATTAAATTATTAGCTTTTTATCAACCTTCATTAACTTGTTTTATTTTGCCAGTTTTTTTACATTTTTAGGAAAACAATATTTATTACTACTACTACACCTACTAGTACTACTACTAGTAATACTAATAATTATTACTATTATAAAATACATGCATAAATTCATATTTGCATTACAAAATATTATATTTGCATAATTCAGAATTACTTAACTATTAGCTTTTTATCAACCTACAAACCCCAGTTTGGGAATCCCTGCTAGGTATGGATAGTATGCAAACTGTGATGCAACTCATAATCTCATATCTCCATATCTAGACTCATCTAGAGTTTCAGTTGAGCTCTAGAGCTTTATAATCTAAACGAGCTGAGCTCTGAGCTGAATAAGAGAGAAATATGAGGACTCCCACTCACTCACACACACACACACACTCACTCACACACACACAC